TGTCGAGGTTATCGCCTCCCCCTCCCCCCACCCTCAGGCGCAGGGTTCAAGCCACACTCTTCGGAGTCGCCGACTCTTGCAGGAGGGAACAGTAGACACAAGCATACAACCACGTTATCGGTAGCAAGTCATGGAAGCTCTGTATGTCGTCGCGATTCCGTCTCAAGGCTGCTTTCGTGCGCTAGCGTTTGGTAGTCGATGAGACAGCGCCGTTTTAGCGTCGAGTAGCGTCGACTTAGCGTCGATTACAGTGGCCTAGCGTTGATTGGAGCGTCGGTCAGCGTCGATACGCAAGAGCCAGCAAGACGGCATCGGCGACTCCTACGAGTTGCCACCGACCACGCTGCCTCTCATGCAGCTGTGGGGAGGTGGGAGATGGAGGGGGAAGGGGGACATCGAGGAGATGTATGGAAACGCAGGGGGTCATCCCGGAATCGGTGCCGATCTACCCAAGCCGCCTTCGGCAAGTCCGCCACCGTGCCGGCGCAGCACGCCGGGCGGCACCTGCTCGAGACGGCCCCCGGGGGGCCCGCCGGGGGCCTCCCCGGGGCGGAGGGCTCGGGCGGTCGGCCTTGAGGCTCTCCCTCTCGGGCCCCCCGCGGGGAAGCGCCTCGGGGGCCCTCCCGGGGCCGCCTCGGGCGCCCCGTGGGGCCGCCTGGGGGAGCCCTCCCCCGGGCCCTGGGCTCGGCGGTGCCGATCTGCGCGTGCCTCTCCCCGGGCCCCCTCTGCTCCTCGCCCCGGGTGGCGCGCCCGGGCGCGCGGCGCGCCTCCTGCCGTTGGCCCGTGCGGCGCGCTCCGCCCTCCGCCGCCCGGCGGCTGCTCTCCTCCTCCTCCTCCTCCTCCTCCTCCTCCTCCTCCTCCTGCTGTTCCTCCTCCTCCTCCTCCTCCTGGGCTGGGGCCGTCCAAGAGGGGGGTTGCGACCAGTGATGACCATCTCGTACTCCTCCCTACCCCCACCCCTCTTCCTCCCTCCCTCCTCCTCCCTCCCTCTCCTCTTCTACCTCCTCCTTCCCTCCTCTCCTCTCCCCTCCCTCACCCTCCCTCCCTCCTCCATTTCCCTCCTCCTCCCTCTCCTCCTCCTCCTCCTCCTCCTCCTCCTCCTCCTCCTCCTCCTCCTCCTCCTCCTCCCAACTCCTCATCGTCCTCCTCCTCCTCCACCTCCTCTTCCCTTCTCCTCCTTTTCTTCCTTCTACGCCTCCTCTTCCTCCTCCTCCTCCTCCTCCTGCTCCTTCCTCTTCCTTCTCCCCCTCCCTCCTCCCTCCTCCTCCCTCTTCCCTCCTCCCTCCTCCCCCCTGCCCTCCTTCCTCCTCCTCCTCCGCCTCCTCCTCCTCCCTCCTCCTTCTCCTCCTCCTCCTCCTCCTACTCCTACTCCATTCCTTCTCCTTATAGATAGCTTCTCCCTGTCGCACCCCGGGGCTAGTTTTTAAGGCGGCCGGGCGTTTCAGGCGTTAAAGCATGACACCAGTTTCACAGATGGAGGGCGGGTCGTTTTCAAAATGTGGCTCTCGCCTTAGCGCCGCGCACATTCGTTGTGAAACGAATGTTCGAGTTTCACGGATTGAGGGCGGGCCGTTTTCAAAATGTGGCTCTCGCCTTAGCGCCGCGCACATTCGTTTTCAAATTTGCAAGAGCTTCACGGATTGAGGGCGGGTCGTTTTCAAAATGTGGTTCTCGCCTTAGCACCGCGCGCAGTCGTGTAAAAACTTTGCAAGAGTTTCACGGATTCCTACGGCCAACGTACCAGAAATTGTGTTTTGGAAGGATTCAGGATTACGCGGCTCAGACTGCCGGCGACTGCGTACAGTCAAACCGCCAAGGGGGCAACCGCCAAAAGGGGCGTGCGGCCACAATCGTGCCTCTCAGTTCACCTCCACATCTGCTTTACACCACACTATCACATGTATCTTTTTCCTTCCCATCTTTCATACAATTTGCGGACTATCACGTGTGACGTCATCGGCGTCAATCTTGCTTCTTGGCGCCTGAGGGTCAGCACCTCGCTCCATTCCATCATGGCTCGTCGCGACAAGGTCATCCGCAGGCAGAAGCGTGCTACTCGTGTCGCTGCGACCGAAGAGACCACCGATGGGCATGCGTCCTCAGAGGTTTCTGCTGCTGAGCACCGTCGCCGCGCGGACGAAGCCTGCGACCGGGTGCCGGCTGAGCCGACTCTCCAGGACGGGCGTCCGATCCGCGCTACGGTCACCTCGAGAGTCGCGTCCCTGCTGCGGGACCACCCTGGGCAGGTGCCATAGTGGGCTCTCTGGGAGGCGGTGGATGAGCTGAAGCACGTGCTCTCCCAGCCGGTGGTCGACGCGCTGCAGAGCGAGATCGTGCGGGGCTCTTTGGTCGTGCGCGAGGAGGCTGCGGACTTGGCGGATGACCGCACTGCTGTGCCCTCGCAGGTACACTGTTACCACGACGGGTCGAAGTTCCCCAGCCCGGTTCTCGAGGATGATGCCGCTGCGTTCTGGAGAACTACCGTGGGTGATGGTTCCACAGACATTGGCACCGAGGCCGAGGGCCAACGGCAACGCAGGCATAGCAGGCACAATGCGCGGAAGAGTCGCCAACATTCCCCGCAGCGTCCTCCTCCTGGGAGCCGCCTGCCACTGTTAGCGCTCCGTTGCTGCAGGATGCACACGATACTGCAGTTGATCCGTATGTCGATCTTGCGGAGCAGGAGGAGTTGGCGTGGCGCGCAACTCATGGCCAGGACGAGCTGTCCCCTAGGGAAGTCCCCGAATGGGAGCAGCTATGCGTGGCAGTGGGCGCAGACGCCGAACGGCTTATGGAAGCGGACAAGAAGCTCGCGTTGCGGGCAGCTCTTCTGAAGGTCCTCTGGAGCATGGAGAGTGTCTTCTGTCAGAGCGCGGTTGCAAAATACCAGCTGCAGATAGCGGACACTCTGGCGGCTCCCACGGATGAGCTCTCGGAAGTGGACTGGTGGTTCCTGTAGGCGGGGGACGAGGGCGGCTACCTTTAGCCAGCATGGCTCGGCAGGAATTCGCCTCTTTTGTGCCTCCCGCGGCGTCATGGCGGATGTACGGTGAGTGTTTACCCGCCGATGCACTGGCGCGCCACTCCGTGTCCGTGCATGGCCTACGGGGAGGCTGCATGCTCTTGTTCGGCTTCGCCGCTGCCGTTCACTTCGGTCCGCCTGGCTATCTGGGTCGACGCTGTCGGGCTGCGGCCGGCGAGCCTGTTTAGTAATTCAAAGCACGTCCGAGTCCGGTGGTACTGCTTCCCCGTGCTGCCAGCCGCTTGCCGTCACGACGTTTTTTTTTTGGGGGGGGGGGGGCTGCCCCCCCCGCCCCGCAGGGTAAGGCGCAGTCGTGCGGCCCGGTTGTCCGCACCCCGCCCCTGCCCCCCTCCGCTGCTGGCCTCCCTTCCCCTCCGCTCCCTGCTGCCCCTTGCCCCTCCCCCCCCTCCTCTCTTGGGGTGCGGACTGTCGTGGCCCAGGAGGGTCTGCGGCCCTGCCCGGGGGCGCGGGGCGCGCGGGGCGCTCGGCGCGCCGGCCAGGGGATCGGGGGAGAGACCTGGGGCGGGCCTTGCCTTCCCAGGTTGAGTCAGTGCCAGTCCAGGGGGTTGCCTCCTGCTGCCTCTGTGCTTCTGTCGGCGGCTCCTGAGCCGCCTGCGGAGTGCCAGAGTGGGCGGAGCACTGCGGTCGCTCTGCCGCCGCCGCCGCGGAGGGAGTCGCCGCCCGCTTGCAGCGCGTCGCCCTCCCTAGCTGTGACACTGGGGCACGGCAACCTTTGGGCACCTCTCTGCCGCGACGTGGGTCATGGCGGAGGCTCGATCACTGAGTAATGAGATATCTGAGTTCCTAGAGTTCCTGGGCGCACTACTTCATTTTTGAGGTACTTGCGGTTTCGCCTTGAAGGCTTCACAGTTTCGTTCCCGTGTTTTTTCCTCGCCGCCCCCCGCCTCTTTGCTCCTCCTCCTTGTCCTCCGCCTCCCTCGTTCCCTCCGCTCCTGTTTCGCTTTGCCGCAGTCTTTGATCTCAGCTTTAAGCCTGGCGCCGCAGAGAGAGAGAGAGAGAGAGAGAAAAAAACAACATTTACAGACGCCATCTCTCGCCGGACACTCCTTGAAATGGCCGGGCATTTCACGTCTGACGTAGCTCAGTGGCGCCACGATCGCATCGCTGCGCTCCGCATCGTGCTGCTTGGTCCGCTCCCCCCTCTTCCCCTCCAAAATTGCGCTGGGGGAACAAATAATGCGGGTGCAACTGTTATGTTTATTCAAGGTTTGGAAGTCCCAGAAATGGCGCTCTGGCGCGATTCCGGATCGTCAAGACGCAGCAGTCAGGTTGATACGTGGCGTTAAAATCCCGAGAACAATGTTGTGGCATGCTTCAGGATCTTCAAACGGTTGTGTTCCAACGAGGCAGTTCCTTCACTGGAAATGAGCCGTTGTAGGAGCCTATAGGGGAGCTTGGAAGGATGGTTACACTGGTCATCCCTCCTCCTCCTCCTCCTCCGCTGGGGCCATAATGTCTCCCCAGATGTCATGGCCCCCTCTCCTTGCCTCAGGCTGTGATTAGCCAGCCCCCTCTCGGACGCCCCGATTCTGAGTTGGGTATAGTTCGCGTTCGGTGCGGCCCCCCCCTTTGCCCCTCGACGTTGACTGTAGCGCGGCGTTCGCGTTCACGCTGGCAGACGGGTGTGGCCTGCCCCAGCCGCCCCCAGGCCTGCACCTTGCCCTTCCACTGCCTGTGTTTTTTCCGCAGTGGGGTGGGGAGGGGGCAGGAGGATTTTAAGGCGGAGTCTAGGGGGGGAAGGGAGGGAAAGTAATGATGGAGGCAGGGGGTGGTGGTGGAGGAGGAGAAGGAGGTGGAGCAGGAAGAGGAGTTGGGAGGAGGAGAAGGAGGAGGCGGAGGCGGAGGCGGAGGCGGAGGCGGAGGCGGAGGAGGAGGAGGAGGAGGAGGAGGAGGAGGAGGAGGAGGAGGAGGAGGAGGGGGAGGAGGACGAGTAGGAGGAGGATCGCGGGATCCTCAGGAAATGACCGAGGAGGAGCTGACGACCTTGGTCAGATCTCGCATGGGCAGCAATCTCGGGAAGCTCGTGAACATCAAGGACCAGTGCCTGTACTACGGGGACGTGCCCGACGACCCGGGCTGGACGGCTAACATCGGCACGGACGGAGTGATTGCTTGGGACCAGGACGGTCCTCCCGCCTCTTCATCGCTCGCCGCTCCTGCTTTGCTTCTTCTTGCCTTCCTCCTTCTTCTAGTTCTTCCTCGTCCTCCCCCTTCTGGAGGAGGAGGGTGGACGGGTCGCAGGAGCACGGACAGGAGCCGAGGCGGCAGGGAGAGGATCAGTGGTGCAGGGGCGGGGGGGGGCAGTGGAGGGGTGAGTGAACGGGCAGCAGGATGAGCGGGAGGAGGAGCAGCACGAGGAGGAGGAGGAGGAGGAGGAGGAGGAGGAGGAGGAGGAGGAGGACGGGCGAGACAGAGGAAGGAGGACGGGTGAGGGAGGGGGCCAGGGAGGGGGGGGGGGGAAAGGAGAATAGGCAGAGGAGTAGGAGTAGGAGGTGGAGGAAAAGGACGAGGGACGGAGACGGAGACGGAGACTGAGACTGAGAAGCAGGAGACGGAGACGGAGACGGAGAGGCAGGAGGATAATTATAATGACGATGATGGTGATGATGATGGTGATGATGCTGCTGATGATGAGGATGATGCTGCTGCTGCTGCTGCTGATGATGATGATGATGATGATGATGATGATGATGATGATGCTCATGGTGCTGATGATGCTGATGATGCTGATGATGCTGCTGATGATGATGATGATGATGATGATGATGATGATGAGGAGGAGGAGGAGGAGTTTTTTTTGTCCCCCGCGAGGACGCAGCCGATACTTGGCCAGGTTGAAGGCTGGCACAAGTAAAAAAAGGCCAGCAACAGCGGCGAGTCGCTGCTGGCAAAGAGCACGCGGCCTCGAGAGAGGCCGGGCCGAGACAGAGAGGAGACGCGCCAGCGCCACAATCGAGGCCATGCCTCCGTGGCGCCAGTCTGACCCGTCCTCGTCCAGCCCCCCCCCTCCCCGCCCCCAGGGCCGCCGGGCTGCCTCCGGCGGCTCTGAAAAGGCGATGCGCTCTCGACTGGAACCCGCGCTCCTTGGGCTGCCCGAGACGGCTCCGGCACGAGCGGAGCCTCGTCTTCCTCGAGTTCCGGAGCCTCTTGCACTGGGTCTGGAGGCGGGGCTTCACTGCTCGCGGCTGGCACGGCGAGCGGGGCAAGGCCAGGCCAGCGACGGCGCTGACCACACCAGAATCAGCGGCGGCAGGAGCAGGGCCCGCACTCGCCTCGCTGCTGAAGGAAACGGCTTCAGGGAGTGGGCCGAGCGTCGGCTGGGCTCGAGGCGAGTCAAAGAGGTGGCGGCCTCGTCGGCCACTCGAAGCCGATCGGGCACGAGGCGCCGTGCCAGCGGGCGGAAGGGGGTCGGAGGCTCTGCCGTCTGCACATGGTCCGCAGGCTCCTTGGCCAGGGGCGGCCGCCCCGAGCAAAACTCCCCGCTGTCGTCGCACTGGGTGTCGGGCGGCAGGTGTCTCCTCCTCCTCCTCCTCCTCCTCCTCCTCCTCCTCCTCCTCCTCCTCCTCCTCCTCCTCCTCCTCCTCCTCCTCCTCCTCCCCCCCCCTCCTCCGAGCAAAACTCCCCGCTGTCGTCGCACTGGGTGTCGATCAAGACGCGCACAGAATCCTTGCCGTACTGCGGGTGAATGCCTCGAAGCATTCGGTTCCATTTCCACCGTTGTCGGGCATCCCGCTGGCCACTGCAACGGCGAATATACAGATTCGACTGCAATGGGGATCCCGTGGAGACGAACGCGGCACAGTGCCAGCAGATGAAGAGCCAGGACCTGTCCGAGCAGGGGAAACAGACTATGCGGTGCCGATTGCCGTCGATCCTTGTAGGTCCAAACCTAAAACTTGCCCCGTACATTTGCGCTTCGGGAGCTGGGGCGCGCCCGTCAACTTGGTAGAACAGTTTGCCTTACGAGTAGCTCTGCAGCACAAATCACATCGCCAAAGGCCAGCAATCCATACACAGTGACAGTCGAGCGCCCTGTCTCTCACAGGCGCAGGGGTCGGTCGGTGTTCAACCTTCCCGTCTTCTTTCGGAGACGGGAAAAGAGGCAGCATTTTCATGGCAGCGCGGCGGAGAGAACCAGACTCGGCTTGCCTGTTGGCTTCGTCCATGAGGTCACCATGGCTCGGGCGGGGCTCGAGGGCGGCTCTCGCTTCTCGGTCGGCGCAGTCGTGGCCGAGTCTCGCGCGTCTCTCTTGGCGTCCGGCAGCGAATCATCAGAGAGAGAGAGAGAGACTGGTGAGCCTTGACCTTCAAAGTTCTGTAGTGTGCCTTGCGCCCTCACAGCTGTGAGCTTGCGGAGTGTGGCCAGCCTAAGCGTTTCTGAGATTCGCGCGATCAGCGTGGCTAATTAGCTTGAAGCTGCTCGATGACATTCAAACAGTCCGAGTAGACAGGCGACGGGCCAGCTATGCACATAGTGGCTGCAGTGCAAGCCGAGAACTCGGCGCATTGTGGTGTCTGCGGAAGCGGCGAATGCACAGGGCCATGGATTTTGCAGAGTCTTTGGCCGTTGCGAAACGCGGCGATCGACCATGCAATTCTGCTGAAATCTCTGATTCTATGGCAGCTGCATGACCCGTCACAAAAACTTGTCCCTGGATTTGGGTCTGGTCCTGAGGAGGTTCCACAAACCATTCAACTTTCAGGGCTCCCGTCGGACACGGGGGGGAAAGTGATCTCCTGGGTGCGGCAGCCCCCCTCGGGTTACAACGAACAAGAGACTCTTGTTTTCCACGAAGCTGTCTACCTCGTCGAGCAACTGCTGATCCACGGCAGCTGAACGAGCTTCGCGAACAGCTTGACATTTCCAAATGCGATGGTAGAGGGTGTCTCGGTGTCCACTTCCCAGCGGGCAGAGCTCTGAATGCAAGTATCCCTTTGATATGGCGCAGGTCCTTGTCCACAGTGCTCCCGTGCAAACGGTCCTGAGAACCCCTTTCTCCAAAGGTGTGTGTTTCTTTGACGCGAGATGTCTGGACACTACGTCGAAGCACGCCCTCTGGTGGAAGCCGCTCTTGGCGCCGCTCTCAGATTCCAGGCGCAAGCCCTCGAGCATGCCAGGCGACTGCAGTGCCAAAGCGACGTCGTGCCCCTGGCCCGTGACCAGTGCGCAGAAAGCTGTCATGCCCCGCTGCTCCAGGGCATTTTCTCATGACCATCACTGGGCCACCGACGCTCCTCCCGGTCAGTTTTTTTGTTTGTTTGTTTGGTTTTTGTTCTTTTAAAATAAAAAATAAAAAAAGAAGTGAAAAAACAAAAAATCAACTTTCCAGGAGCCCCGAAGGCACTGAACAGACAAACGTGGACTGGTGCACGGTGCACCTGGTGTTCCACACGTCCTTGTGCCAACGAAGGATCGGCGCCACCTGCACCGCCGAGGTAGGGTCACGATCTGGCAGGAGCAAGATCGGCAGGCCCCTGTCCCCCACGGAGGGTTTCAACACCGAGGCGAAGGACCTCCCGAGGCCCAGCAGCTCCGAGTCCGAAATCCCAAAGACTTCAGCCCAGCACGAAGCCGAAGGGAGAGGGCCCGACACGCAGATGTTTCTGGCACGTCGGCCAATATTGCGCGTGAGCTTACCTAGGCGGCGAGTTCTCATGGCAGCTCGAGCTCGCCTCTTCTTGGCTTTCGCGTCGTCCCCTCGATGCCCGAGCGCAGCGCCAGCCGCATCGTCGATAACTAGATTGGGAGTGGCAGGAACGATGGGACCAGTAAGCGAGGGACCCAGTCTTTTCTGGATTTCTTGGCCTAGGGCCCTGTTAGAAACCAGCAGCGCCGCTTTGTCTTCGGGGAGCGAAGCGCCGATGTCTTCGCTGATGACTCCCGCAAGCTGCTCCGACCCTTGGACCGCTCCTTCCGAAACGTCAGAAAAATCCCCACGGGGTGGATGCCGTTATCATGTATATAAAGACTATAATCCACGCGTGCGTGCCACCTGATCGTGTCGAGCCTTCCTATCGAGTTGACACGGATAAGAGTCGTGGCGAGCGGGCGGCCCGCAACACCGCCCTTGAAGGCGTACGTGACCACGCTGATGGCCCCGTCCGGGCACAGGTGAGGTAGGCCCCGATAGCCGTGGCAAGCGAGCCGAGCGACGCAGAGTGGAACACCTAGCCTGCCGCACCGATCCAGAATCTGGTCGATGGACAGAGACTGATATAGTCTTAGTTGCCTCGGTACGCGCGTTTTGAAACGCAACACGTCCCGTGTTCAAGACGTCCGTGCCAGTGCGTTGCGTGTCGGTTCCACGTATTGGACCACGTTTTGGCGAATGTATCGCGTCGGACCTACGTTTTCAGCCTACGTGTTGAGCTCCGTATCAATATGATACGTGTTGCGTGTTGCGTATCGGGGCAGCTAAGCTCATAGTATTTGTAAACGGCCTATGGAAGCGTCGCCGCACACCGTCCCGAGGCGATCCCAGCCTCGCTCAGCAAGGCCTGCCTCCAGACAGTGTCCACAGCTCCCATGCACTCTCCAGCAAACCTCGCCCCCCCCCCCCAAATCACCCCGACCCAACCCGAAGGCCCCGATTCGCCCTCCTCCATTTCTAGTGTGGGGGGTCGGGGAACGCTGAAGCAGCACATGGAACCCGTACCCTCCCCAACCCGAAATTCGGATCACATTCGGGTCTTCGGGTTGGGTTGGGAGGTGGTCTGGCAGGCAGTCAAAATTCGCGGTCTCTGGTTCTGGGCTTCCCGGGCCACGGCCAGGGGCCTTCGGAGCCGCCCCCCAAGAGGCGGACAAGGGGTCCCAGAACGTGCCCAGGGGGCGGAACCCGCCCCCGGGCTTTACCCAAGGAGCATGGCAAGAATCGGGTGGACCTGCTCGGGGATGAGGGAGAGGATTCCCGTATCCCTGTAGATTTCAGTCCGAGTCTCCAGTGACTCGCCGGGGAAAGACTGGGGACAACGCCTCGTGTGAAGCCCGTCGGTGCTGACGGCGGCCCTGGCTTCACATCTTCGAGACGCCGCTCTGACTTCGTCGAGGCTTGGGAACTCTGGGGACTCCAACGGGGTAAAATCGCTAGGCAGCAGAAGGAGGAGGAGGAGGACGAGGAGGAGGTGCAGGAGGAGGAGGAGGAGGAGGAGGAGGAGGAGGAGGAGGAGGAGGAGGAGGAGGAGGAGGAGGACGAGTAGGAGGTGCAGGAGGAGCAGGAGGAAGGCGAGGCAGAGGAGGGAGCATGACGGAGGCGTAGGAGGAGGGGTTAAGTTAGCCAGCTCGAGCGGGCCAGGGGGCCCCGCCCATGACCCCCCCTCCCTCCCATAACGTAGTTATCAATTGTGACACAACTTGATGTTGGCGCCCTCACCCAGCCAACAGAAGACGCTCGCGCGCGGTCCCGCTTCCGACGACTCGGCGACAGGACAGCCGCTCGCACAGGCCGGAGTGGAGCTCCAGAATCAGTTTCCGGGCGGCCAGATCTCCGATGAGCGCGGCGAAGGCGAAGCATACAGTCGGCCCAGATTAGTAGGTCGACCCTGCCAAATCAAGGGTGCCCTCGTGTCCTGTGTCTCGCGACCCATGCCTCCTGCATTCCTGTGGCAATGTGGCCCTCGGAAGGGTCTTGTGTCCTCTCGCGTGTCCTGTCCAATCGAGTCCGACGGTACGCCTCGCCGAAAGAGCCTTGCCACTCTCGCTCGCAACTCGCTCGGCACTCTGGGCGAGAGCAGCACGCCGCCCGCTCTCGCGCTGCCCCGCTGCGGGTGCCGCTCTCGCCGTCTTGGCGAGCGGAGCGTGCACCGCGCCCACACGGGAACTCCACCTCCAAGAGGCGTGTTGGCTTGGCGCGTGTTGACAGGCGTTCGTTCGCTCCTCCTCCTTCTCCTCCTCCTCCTCCTAGTCCTCCTCCTCCCCCCCTCCTCCTCCTCCTCCTCCTCCCCCTCCTCCTCCTCCGCCTCCTCCTCCTCCTCCTCCTCCGCCTCCTCCTCCTCCTCCTCCTCCTCCTCTCCCCCTCCTCTTCCTCCCCTCCTCTTCCTCTTCCTCCTCCTACTCCTCCTCCCTCCTCCCTCCTCCTCCCCCTCTTCCCTCTTCCTCCTCCTCCTCCTCCTCCTCCTCCTCCTCCTCCTCCTCCTCCAATGGGGCCTCGGCGGGGGTGACCAGTCGTCCGCTTGCGTGGGGCCCCCCAAGCCCTGGAGACTGAAGCGTGTGCGCTGCGCCGCGGCGGGACCGCAACCTTCAGGCGAAATCTGCGCGGCGCCGAGGCGATCGCCATATCGGGAAGGCCTTACGGCCAGTGCCGCCGACCCTGGAGACGACGGCGTTGACCTCGGCGAAGAAGATGACGGGGAAGGCGCCTCGGGAGGAGGGGGAAGACGGCACAGATGAGGCGGAACAGGTGCAGACACAGAGAGGGGGAGGGGGAGGAGGAGGAGGAGGAGGAGGAGGAGGGGGAGGGGGAGGGGGAGGAGGAGGAGGAGGATGAGGAGTAGGAGAGGAGGAGGAGGAGGAGGAGGAGGAGGAGGAGGAGGAGGAGGAGGAGGAGGAGGAGGAGGAGGAGGAGGAGGAGGTGCAGGAGGAGCAGGATGCGGAGCCATGTTTTCTTCCGCTCGCGCGTCGGGGCGACCCTGCGTGCGAAAGACGTGCGCCGCGCCCAAGCGGGAGCTCAATTCTCGGGAGAAGCGAGCGCGGCGCCGAGGCGAGAGCGATGTTCCGCCCGTTCGCGCGGGATGCGCGCCCCGTCCCACTCCCGCCGCGCATTTTGCCACGTCGACGCCAAAGCGTCCATGCTGATACCGAAAGCGCAGATTGCGCACTGCTTTTCACAGGTAGGATGGGAGGGCCTGGATGGGGTTGCTGTCGGCTGGCTAGGTGGCAAAACAGGAGCATCCACGAACAGCGGAAACGGGTGTGGAGGAGAGAGGGAGGGGGTGGGTGGCAATGGGGCAGGGAAAGGGCGAAGAGGTGCGAGGGGGACCGAGGGTAGCCTCCCTTCCCAGCAGCCGTTCGTTATTTTCCCCCCCTTCTCCTCTCCAGTGCGTCGGGATCGCGCCGCGTTGACGCGGCGGCGGCGGCACCGGCGCATGCGCCCCAAGGGCGAAGGCCCCGATGAACCGGGCCGACCTTGGCCGATCTCTGCTGCTGGAGAGATGGGATCGCCCAAGACTGCAGCCAGCTCTCCTAGGAGAGATCCGCAACTTTTTCCAAGGTTACCCTTGCATCCTTCCCCTCGGGCTCATTCTTGGCCGCTCTCGCTGGCCGCGCCCCCCTCGCAGAGTGCCGACGCGGCCTTCCAAGGCCCTTAAAAATCCTTGTCGTGCGTCCTCATTCTACGGGTTGACCGAGAGCGACCCACGCAGTGCCAGAGTCTAACGTCCCCGCTGGGCAGAGTCCAACGTCCATGCTGCCACTGCAGTCATCCGCCGTACCTGCCCGGCCTCCTTGCCGGGCCGGCCCCGCAGGACGAGCCCTGCCCCGACGGGCAGGTCTACATCATCGGGTCTGCCCGTGGCGAGCTGCTGCGCATGTCGGCCGCGAAGGGGCCGACCAAGCACAAGTTCGTCGCTGGCACATTCGAATACCCCGTGGTCATGGACTTCAAGAAGAACATCGGCAAGTGCGTGAAACAGCCGGAGGACATCTCGCCACGACCCAAATGGGCTCCAGGGTTTGTAGTGTTAGAAGAAGAAGAAGTAGTAGTAGTAGTAGTAGTAGTAGTAGTAGTCGTCGTAGTAGTGAAGTAGTCGTAGCAGTAGTAGTAGTAGTAGTAGTACTAGTAGTAGTAGTAGTAGTAGTAGTAGTAGTAGTAGTAGTAGTAGTAGTAGTAGTAGTAGTAGTAGTAGTAGTAATA